AGTTCAGCCACCTGGTATTTCCTTCTCCAAATATAATGACCATCAGAGTGAGCATTGTTAACTTATAGGCTATTATGCCACTTATCCCCCATTCGGAATTTGACTGTATCAGAGAAGAGGTAGGCCTATGTCTAAAGTCATCTGCAATAGAACTGCACCAGATATTTCCATACAACTGCTGGTTAGTGTTCAATAGCACCCTAGACAATTCAGTAATGGTGTATTTTTTAGGGATTACTGTTTTTCTGATAAATGAGAGAAAAGTGATTGAGTCCTATGTTCCTATCACCAAAAGTACAATTTCCGTCTAAAGCTAAGTTTACAGGACTATAATACAGTATTTGTTTTGTTAAATAATTCTCTGACTATTTGGTGATGTAGGACAGCCACCTGGTTCATACCTCAGCAAATCTTAAGAGGAAAAGAGTGGTCATTCTAAAGAACAACCAAAAAAACATTTTTGCCCCCAAAATAAAATTTGACAACAATCAATTTCATTAATGGGAGACCCTAAAGATAAGAAAAATCATTGTTGTCATTTGTTCTACCTCGGGTAGGGGTATCTCAAAATCTGAGGGCCCTTCCTGCCAGACTATTAGAAACATTGGTTCCTATCAACAGTCCAATCCCTGCATTTATTTCAGGCAAATTAACGTTTTTTAGATGAGGCCATCTCTGTAGGTCCGCTTGTCTAGGAATGTTCTCACTGTGGGAAGGCATGCACTCTTGGGTGTAGGTTGTGGCAGTTGACAGAAATTGTCATTTTTTTAAGCCATCCACTTCTAGTCCAAACACAATATGGCTATTTACGACCCTCTCTTGGCCCATAGTTCGTAAAAGAATCTGCTCCTTCTTTCCAGTTAGGCAGAGCTTGTGCATCACATCCTCTGTACAAAACACTGTTGTACTTCCTGGGTCCAAGAAAGCATAGGTGGTGACAATCTTGCTGCCTTTCGTTGACTTGACTTGCACTGGAACTATGGGAAGTTTACAATTGTCATCACCAGCCCCGGTAAGGCCACTTGACACCAGTGTGCTGTCCACTGATAGCGATTGTGTCTTGCTTCATTGGAAGGGAGGTGAAGTATGGTTGGATGTTTGAACCCACATTTTGAACAGGAAATGTGTTTATTGAAATTTTTGCTAATGTGCCCCACGCACAAACAGCCAAAATACACCTTTTTCCATCAAGAAGCCTATCTTCTCTTTGTGTGTTCCTTTTTCAAGCTGATGTCACGAGTCTAAGGTGTGACCTTCTCCTCCGCACAGACTTGGTTTCCTTCCATTCAGTATCTGTCTGGGTTTCATTTTCTACAGGGGTTACAGTGGTGGAAAAGCTAGTTCCTCTTAAACTTGAGTCAGGCTGTGATCTGTTTAAACCAGTATTTATTGTTATGGAGGGAGAATCTTGTATGTTTCCAAATACTGGGTCGGTTAAGATTTTATCTTGTCTCTCAATGAAATGTTCCTCTCATGCAGCTCACAGGCTAAAGTTCTCCACTTGTCTCTGAAGGTAACTTTCTTATTATGATCACCATATTCGCAGCCAATGTCAAGCTCACGCAAATACTGCACCTCTTCCATTGCGTTTGCACATGCTCTAAGGAAGAAACTGAAGTCTTGCAGAGCCTTAACATCTTCTTACGCCCTGTGTGCTTGTTGTTTTTTGTTGACAAATATAGCGACAGCAGGAAACAAACAAAGTCGCTGAGAGGCTGAGTCGGGCCTGTTTGCTATTGTATGACACGCTAAAAAAAACACTTGCTGAGATCAAAAATTGAAGTGAATAATAACGTAGTTTAATGAAAAAATGAGATGATCAACTTATTTTTCGTAGACAAAGTCATTGTTATAATAATCAAAGCAATCCTTAAACTTGCGGTCAACAAAAAGCACAACGACCCTGTGTCCCCCTCTTTTCCACACACACCTCACGCAGGTAAACAGGATTATAATTCCGTGCCGCCCATAACCATGTGACCCAAAGCAACCAACCCAATGCGATCAAACAAATATCTTATACAAATACAAACCATTACCCAAATATAAAACTAGTACAAAACAAATGTGTATATTCAAAATGCATTACTATCTAGTACGTTTCATGGCTCCTACATATGGCACACTCTATAGATATCCTCAATTCCATCTATGCTGTTCAACTGTGGAGCAGAAAACAGTCAAAACAAATTGCAAGTTTTGAATTACCAACCGTTATTTTTTACTTTTCATAGGTTATTTACTTTTGCTAATTTCGGAAAGTTGCAACTGCTCAGTTTATCAAACATGTTTTAAACCATGCTCAGGGGGGTAGTATCTCTGAGGCAACAAACACCTTGACTGGTTCACTTTTGTGTTAATTCTGTGTCAGAATAAATCATAATATCTTGCGATGATAATCAGACCGTAATGCAAGTTTTGTATTTGTTCTTTCCTAGTCAACTATCGAGGCTCTATTGGGTACGGCCAGGACAATATCCTCTCATTACCTGGCAACATTGGCACCCAGGACGTCAAGGATGTTCAAGTAAGAATGAAACGAGAGCAACAAAGGCTGGTCCAAACGATGATTTACAAGTTTATGCTATTCATTTGTTTCTATATTTAGTTTCTGTTTGAGTCATGGATCTCAACAGCAATAGTACAATAAAATATATATATATACTTTTTATATTTTTTTGCTCACCCGTCTTTTCAATGTTTTCTTTCTACCAGTTTGCTGTGGAAAGTGTCCTGAAAGGTGATGAATTCGACATGCAGAAGGTGGCAGTTTCTGGGGGCTCCCATGGGGGTTTCCTGGCCTGTCATCTGATTGGCCAGTACCCAGGGTTCTACAAGGCATGTGTGTCTCGCAACCCTGTCACCAATCTGGCCTCTATGATCGGCAGCACAGACATCCCAGACTGGTACATCTTGGCATGCACATTCCAACATATACGTACACTTTTGTAACTGTTGGGCACAACTTCTCACCTTAGTTGTTCTGTATCATTTGTACCGCTGACATTCCCCTCTGACAGCTGTGAGTGGGATGCAGGGGATGTTTCTGCCTCACTGTCAGAAAAGGAAGTGTCCCCTAATACACAAAGACACTGCAGGAACACGAAACCTAAAAAGCTTTTCGTTCGTGTTTACATTAGATTGCTTGTTTTTGCAGGTGCATGGTTGAGGCTGGCTTTGACTACACTACAGACTGTCTACCTGACCCTGCTGTGTGGGAACAAATGCTGAACAAATCCCCCATTAGATACGTCACACAGGTTTGAGTATTTCTGTGTTTGCACTTGACTGCGATCTTTAGTCTTGTTCCACAATAAAGTAACCTCAGATGTTTTTTTATCTAGGTGCAAACACCAGTATTGCTTACCTTAGGGGAAGATGACAAGCGTGTGCCCAGCAAGCAAGGAATTGAATATTACAGAGCTCTGCAAGCAAAGAAAGTCCCAGTCCGGTGAGCTTCTTGTCTGAGTGACGTGTTTTACCAGTTATGTCAGCTATGCACTGCACAACATGGCTTTTATTGTTCATTCACTAATGCTCCAGTGTGTGTTGTTTAGGTTACTGTGGTACCCAGGAAACAATCACTCTCTCTCCAAGGTTGATGCCGAGTCCGATGGATTTATGAACATCGCCTTGTGGATAATTCAACACTTGTGGAAGTGATGGTACACACTACTGTAAATGTATGCATGGTGGTGTGCCAAGGATCTTGCTACCAGGAAAAGAGAGCAGGAGACTGGTGTGCAATGTGTGTTCTGCTCACTCTTCCGGGACCATGTGAGGTCCAATCCAAAGCCAAAGCATTGAATGTCCTATCCAACCTGAACACAGTTTGTATAACTGTGCTTTACTTCTATCTAATCTACTGTATCTGTGGCTATGGTAACTGCCACTGCTTCTTTCAATGTTTGTAAAAATAATATTTTAACACACTACTTGAATAGAAGTCGTTTTTTTTCATACAGTTTTGCCTTTGCAATCTTTAAACACACTGAGAAAATAAAGATATTTTCAGTGTGTTGCTTGTAGGTTTTATTAACAAATGAACATTCATTTTCTCTGCTATACTTTTAGATTTTATGATGCAGTACATTTAATAAAGTGATTGTCAAAATGCTACTATTGTGGAATGAATCTTTTGAAACATTGCATTTTTTTCAGGTTGAAAAGGATTTTTGAAGCAAGGTTCAAGGTTCTTTATTTAGTCATGCGAACATAGCTACAGTGTAGTAATGCCGATGAAAATCTTGTGTCACAGGCTTCTCCAACAGTGCAACACAAACACAGATAACAGAAAAAATATAGTGCAAGTAAATAGTAATACAAAAAGAAAAATAGTTTAAAAAAGTGAAATGGTACAATAAGAGTCTATATGCAAGTTAAGAAATATGATATATTAGATAAATAATGTTTAAGTAGCAGCCAGATGAACTGTAGAAACAACACCCTTAATATTCAAGTGTTTAACAGATTTAGCTTCAACAGTTCGGGTGCTTAAGAGTATTATTGCCTGTGGGATGAAACTGTCCCTGAGCAGGTGATGATGTTGTGTTTACTTCCTTATACGTTTTCTTTAGATCAGTGAATTAACTAACCCTCTCCTTCCGTTTGGGGCTTTCTCTGCAGTCAAAAAAGGAAAACATTGAACTTTTTTTTGGATTTTTCTAATACTCTAAAGGTGTTGTCATCAGGAAATTTACTTTTGTTAAATCACATAAGGTAATATCGATTTCTGATGTCCTTGATTAATTTGACTTGGGTCACATGGTTTGTGTCCCTTTGCCATGTGTATAAGACCACATGCTTTCACTTCTGCATACATGGATCCAGTTTCCTAGCACTGCAGCTGCTTTTGGATCCGTTTTTCTATCTTCTCTCTCCACCAAACATTACTTCATCTGGCTGCCAATGTGAATGTTAAGCTTCATGATATACCTGTCATGGTAAGTAAAACAATTGTTATTCTGCTATCTATTTGCACTACATTCTACTTTAAGAAGATGATATAGCTACTCTTTTGTTACGTTAAATGGACAGAAATGGCTCATTGGTCAGGCTTAACAAAACTAAAGGGATTATCTTAACAATTGTATGCTTTAGTACAGAGTAAGGGTGATCTCAATGGAAATTTTGTGAATATGCTTGATATTGTGCACAAGAGAATTGCCCAGACTATATATTGTAACACATAAACAAACGAGTAAAACCATTAATTCTTTTTACAGGCTATGTTGAAAAATATCTTCATCATTTTTCAACTTCTTCCATTGGCGAGGACCATTAATACCACCTTTTTACCATGTGAATCTGATATTAATGGCACCGCAGTGGACTGCTGTGACAGAACAATCGAGTCTTTCCACTTTATTAAGTCTCCCAACGTTGTGTCACTCAATTTAAGTCGAACTAAGATACGGAAAGTGGGGCAAAATGATTTTTTAAACCTCCCAAACCTTGACACCTTGAAAATAATGGGGAATTGTCGACCGGATCAACTGAGACCTTCAGTGAAACAATTGTGCAAAATGGAGATCAACAATGATGCCCTGACGAAGCTATCAAAGCTTAAATATCTGTATCTGTCAGGAAACAGCCTCACCTCTATTCCCCGGTTACCCGAAAACCTGATGGTTCTTGACCTACAGAATAATTGCATCTTCAACATTGCAGAGCCATTACACACTCCACACCTGCAAGTGCTCTACCTCAGCAAGAACTGTTATTACGCAAATCCTTGTGGCCAGCCCTACTTCATCAACGAGACTGTTTTCAGACAACTCTCTAAGCTGCAAAACCTAACCTTAGGGTATAACAATGTTACAGCTATCCCTTTAGAGTTGCCACCCTCACTGGTGCTTCTGGATTTAAGAGAGAATGCAATTACAGAGGTCTTAGATGGAGCGTTTGCAAACCTGACGAATCTCAAGAGTTTGACTTTAGAGTGGAATTGCCAGCGTTGTGACCATGCAGCCAGGCCCTGCTTTCCCTGCCCAGACAATAACCCTCTACTCCTAAAAAACAACTCACTCTATGCTGAGAACAGCTCAATCAACTTCCTAAGCTTGAGAGGAAACTCACTGAAAACCTTTCCAGTGGGGCTTTTCCAATCTTTGAAGAAATTGGAGAGGTTGGACCTCTCCGACAACCTCCTGGCATATGCTATACGTAATGGCACCTTCTTTAAAGAGTTGAAGGGCCTCACTTGGATCAGCCTTATCTATAACTACGAACCACTGATGATATTTCCGGAATTGATCCTCTCCCCATATATTTGCAATATGTCTGCTCTAGAATATCTTCTTCTGAGTGGTAACTTTTTCCATACGTTTTCCAAAGAAAGCGTTAGTGTTGTGTCCAAACTTCAAAATCTAAAGGTACTAGAAATGAGAATGAACTTCATCAATACATCCCTACCCATTACCTCTCTAAAACAGTTACCATCACTCATCAAGATTGACCTTTCCCAAAACCTCATTAATTTTCTTCCTTTCTGCTCATGTTCATCATCTAGAATTGTGGCACAGAACTTGTACACACGCAATTTTCCTGACCAAGGCCTTATGCTATCAGATCACAAATCCACATCTGGAAGCAATACCTGGGAATCAAGCCAGACAAACCGTGGGGAATTGTTGGAGCACAATGTGAGACAAATTAAATTCCTCTCAGACTTTAAAGATACCCTCTGCCGTGGCAAATTGTGGATTGACCTGTCTCAAAATAACATTCTGTCGATTTACAAAACAGTATTTGTAGGCATGGAAAATGCTGTTTGTTTGGACCTTTCCTTCAATTACATGAGCCAGGCATTGAAGGGCGGTCTGTTTGATAGCATGAAGAAATTAGTTTTTCTTAATCTGTCATTCAATAGGCTTGACTTATACTACAACGATGCGTTCAGTGAGCTTAAAAACACTCTAAAGGTATTAGACGTTAGTAACAATGAATTTCACTTCCAAATGAAGGGGATGGGCCACCATTTTGGATTCCTTCAAAGTCTGACAAAGTTGGAAGCTCTAAGTCTGGCAAACAATGGCATTGGGATGCGTATAGATCCATCGCTGAACAGCAGATCTTTAAACTACCTTTACTTTTATGGAAATCACCTGGACATTATGTGGGATTACGATAATGACAAGTACACTCGTTTCTTTCAAAACCTGACAAACCTCACCTACCTCGACATCTCTAATAATGAGCTGAAGTCAATTTCAGCGGTAGTGCTTTGTAACCTCCCACAAAGCTTAGAAGAACTAAGCATCAGCAAAAACAAGCTGAACAATTTCCCATGGGAAAACATCACAGCGCTGAGCAATTTATCCCACCTGAACCTCAGTCATAACTTCCTTGATTTATTGCCTAATAAAGTAATAGATTTCGGAGCATATTTTACCCTCTTGGACCTCAGTCACAATTATCTAAGCTTTATTCCTGATGATTTCTTCAGTATTGCGGAATCCCTGAACTACCTCTATCTCAGCCACAATCAGATCAAAGTGTTGAACCATCAATTTCTCCCTCCCCCCTTTAAAAATGGCAGTGCCCGTCAGATACTCACCCTGCATGCCAACCCATTTAAATGTGACTGTGATACATCTTCGTTTACAGATTTCTTGCGTACTACTGCGGTACAGATTCCTTATCTCACCATATATATACAATGTGGTTACCCAGAGTCCCAACAGGGCGCGGGTGTGCTGTCCATGGACCAGCGTTCCTGCCAGGACATATACGGTGGCTTAGCCTTCCTCGTCTGTTCCTTTTTGGCTGTGACCTTCACTGTTCTGCCACTACTGAAGCATCTCTATGGCTGGGGCCTGTGGTATTGCCTACAAGTGCTTTGGGCAGGACATAAGGGCTACTCCCAACTTGCTGGAAGTAATTCACGTTATCAGTATGATGCTTTTGTGGTGTTTGACACCAGGAACAAGGCTGTGAGCGATTGGGTCTACAATGCATTAACCGTCAATCTGGAGATCTCCGGTCACAGGAATTTTTGTCTCTGTTTGGAAGAGAGGGACTGGATTCCTGGACTTTCATGTATTGACAATCTTCATAATGCTGTCAACAGCAGTGTCAAGACAGTGTTTGTGCTATCTAGTGGAGCCACTGGTGGTGAAACGGTGAACGGTGTGATTCGCCAGGCTTTCTTCATGGTTCAGCAGCGGCTTCTGGACGAGAAGGTTAATATATTTAACTTTTATTTGTATACGTATCTTGTGGGTGAGAATCTTATTCCCTTTAACCTGTTGCCATGTTTTCACAACACTCAATTATGTCTTACTTTACCTCTTTTAGGTGGATGCAGCTATACTGGTCCTGTTGGATGAGATGTTTCCCAAACTGAAGTACCTTCAGCTGAGAAAACGGTTGTGCAAAGATTCTGTGTTGTCATGGCCGAGGAACCCACGGGCCCAACCACTTTTCTGGAACCGAATGAGAATGGCACTGTCATCAGATAACCTCAAATTCTACGATAACAACATGAGTGAAAGTTTTATATGACTTTCTTTTATCTTCTGATAGAGGACACTTTAGTGAAAAAGTCCTCTTGCTCTTTGTCAATATTATTTCCAATACTTAATTTTTTTTTTAATCTTGCTATTCATATATATAACCACTGTTCTACAGTGTAAATATTTTATAGTTTTGTTGTTTTATCTAACAAAATTGTTAATTGATTCTTTTTTTGTCTTTTGAATGCTCTGGCCAGGAAGGGACATGTTGCTATTGTGGGCTGTCAAGTTAGACATGCTGTCATTTGTACATAGACATTGATATTGGATTATGCAAATAAACTTCAACTGATTTAATTTTAGTAGCTTGATTTCACAAGTATTACAAAGGAGTCATGTAATGTATGTGTATAACAAACGCCCCAATCCCCATATTACAAAATCTCACTTCCCTTTGGTTAGATTTTGGCAGGAAGTGAAACTAAGGATTACATCTAACATTTCACAGATGACTAACAACGCAATCTGTTGTACCCATTTAAAGTAAGACATGGCACCTGGTATTATTCAAGAAATGGAAGAGGAAAACCTTTGCACTCAACCTTTGTGTGGTGTTCATATTTTTGTTACTCAGCCAGTGTTCGTGGGTCTGGTGGACCCGCTGCCTTTTTGGGCTTGAATTAAACACAATCAAACTATTTTATGTTAAAATACTCAACAGATGTTTATTTCATCTCAATTACAAGCAATATATACAGCATATATGGTTAATATTTGCCCTTTTACATTTGTTAGATCACATTAATGAATTCAAGTCCTACTCCTTTTTTTGCCTGCTGACCGGCTGGTCCTGTGGCTCGTCTTTTTTTTTTGCAACTGATGCTCAATCTCATCCTCTTCTTCAAAGTCACTGTCGGACTCAGAATTCTCAGAAATTAGATCCTCACATTCTGAAACCTCTTCCTCTACATCATCATCAAATGGTTCTCTCTCTTCCATAATCATTTGCAAGGACCTCTGAGCAGAGAATCTTTAGGTCATCTTGATCAGTTGTGATAAGGAACCAAACTGGCGAAGCAGTGGGTGGTCATTGAAAATATGTTCTGATATATGTTCTTCACAGAAAATGAGCCAAGGCCATTAAGTGTGTGTTTGAAAAAATAATTTATCATATCATTTTTCTTTAGCTAAATAATGAAAACGGGTCCCACAGACCCGAATACCATACAAGGGTTAAGTGCAAGCAACATATTAAAGGAACAAATAGATTCAGCAACATGGAGTACTGTGTTTGTACTTGTTGAATTGTACACATATTTAACATTTCTTTTTCGAATTCCAGTTTCATTTTTTATCTCGTGGCCTGGGAATTCCAGTAGACACGTAGCGTATATTTTTTGAAAGAGAAACCTAACAAAAAATACTTTAATAAATGTAAAGTGAACTGAACAGAAGAGTTACCCCGAAGAGTAATGACAGGCCCTGCCAAAGGTCAACATATTTAATCCAAAACTAGTTGTGGCTTTCTCTAATCAGGTGGTGTAATTTAAACATAGTTTGGTTGTCTCTCTTATAAACAAACTATGCCAAATTATTGATGGCTCATGGCTGACAGGGAATTGCTTGCCTTGAAAAAAATGGAATGCAATTCAATGTAAACCATTTTTTGGGGAGTGTATGTTAGACATTGCAAATGCTGTACAATGCCCAATGATGCTTGTGTAGGTGTATGAAAACATAAAGCCTCCCTTTATTGCTGCTCACGGCCCCACTACTCCGCGTAGGTCGCGCACGCGCCAGCTTGGGAGTGCGCGCCCACGCGGACCCGATGGCAGGACAGGTCATGATGGAGCTGAGCCGATGAGATCATGGAGCCTGTGCCGAGGTCGGACAGGATACGGTTAAGTCTTCACGGTGATGGAGAGGTGCCTGTCCGGTAAGATCGAGAACACGTTTCGTGTACACTTGGACTCAGTGGCATCATGGAACAACAGTATTTAAACAAATGAAACTGTGCTTCAATGTGTGTGACAGATTAATTATTATGTAAGGTTCTAGCTCGAAGTCATGTAGCCGTGTGCATATGAGCAAGACACTAATCCTTCATGCCGTGGTCGTGGAGTTATTCGGGCGACTGTGCACAACTGCATGCACTGCACTCATGCCACCCGTGAAGGATAATGCAGTCTACTTCATAATGTATCTTCGGTTTGCCGCTTGTTGAGTTGTATGAGAGGGGCACATGTTAAAATGCAAACTACCGAGTTACGCTTTTGCAGTTTGGGTGGCGACTCGAGTTTTCTCTTCGCGGCAACAGCTGGCTGCCAACTCACAAGTGCAGAGGCATGAGGCGAAGTGAGACGTTTTCTACTTTTTTTCATCAGTCATTTTTGTATTTGTCGGTTCAGTGCGGTCAAACAACGATGGACACAGCTGCTTAAACTTGCCGCGTGCCCTTCGAAACTGACCAGTTAGGCTGACCTCCATTTTAATGCAAATGATATCTGTAGACAAAGCTTCAATAGTGACAAGTTACCGTGTGTGGTTGTTTATACATGTTTAAACGTTTATTTTATATGATTTAATAATCGTGATCATTGTTATTTTGTTATGTTTAGTCACAATTATTGTACAAAAAAAATCATAAAAGGACTAAATTCATTGTCTCAAACAATGATGGATAACGGATTGACAGCTATGTTATGATTGACAAGCAGATTTAACCAATCGCTCATTTGCATCCTGTGCAGAGACTCAAAGCACCCAATCCTCTTGGATTAGAGGAGGGATTATGATTTGGATTTGCCACTGCTTTTGCAGACAGTCCCCAATATCTGGTTTATCATGGTCTGCGTTGTGCTTACTTTGATTTCCTGAGGATATTTTTTACACATTTGTTTTATTTCATGTTTTTTTGCCTCAAATAATCCAACATTGTGTATGATTCCAACACATAGTATAATAATCTGTAGCCTGATTGTATTCTAAAATGGCCATAGTCCTATATAGGCTACTTTAATTTAGCCTGACTTTAATGTTCCTCCTTTTGTCGTTGTAATCGCATCCCAAAAGAACCGGTATGTCTTCAGCCCTGATATAGTCTGTCAATGAGCTTTGCAAATTGACGAAAGGGATGGCAGCCTGCACTGCCCATTGCCAATGATACTATTGTGTCCCTGTTTCCTTGAGATCCGTGCAGGCAGAATGAAGATGGATTGAGTGTTGTCCATGGTGCTGAAATGGTCAAGCTGGTCCCTCTCCCTTATTTTTTCTTTCACCATCTACTGTGGGAATGTGGCTGGGCAAGGTGTCCTTTACATATAGCCTGGTTATTAAACAGACATTGTGTTCCTGTCGTCAGAATCACTCCCATCAGAGAGGATTACATAGTAAGAGTAAGATACATGTTACCCTGCTCCTGGACTCATGGTCTTGAATGTATAGCTTAGCCTAGCATTTTGCCCACCTTTTGAATATTTGATTAGCGTTGGCAGCGATTTGTAGTCAATTTCATTGATTGTCCTCACATGAGCAGGGAGAGATGGAAAAAGCAGGACTGTGGGTTCCCAGAGGCAGGGATGGAAAACATGGCACTAGATCAAGAATGTAATTGTAATACTTGGCACTTTGTAATACTTGGCACTCTTTGTTTAAAGTATTTTTTTTTCAACCACGAGTCATGGGCATTGTTCGTCATATTTGTAGGCTTGTTTGCTTAATCTTATTATTGTTCAAATTATTTAAATAGGACTCATTTTGTGTTCTTTTTTTATTTTAACAACGTTTTTGTTTAAGTGTTAGTGTTTGTACCACATTTGCAACAGCTTAAAATACTTGTTTAAGACTCTGACCACTTGCATGGGTGTATTTCTAAGTTAATGTTGTTGAAGAGATTTTATTAGAATGTATTAGGTCGAAATATTACCATCTACCAATGGAAATTATACATTTTGGACTGTATTTGACATATATGTTAACCCATTACAGTCTATATACCAACACAGTCCTGAGTAGAAGTCTAAAATGAACTAAAAACAGCTGTGTGGGTGTTCAGAAGGTTTAAAGAAAAAAACGTTTCTGAGTAAAACATGTTTATAATGCTTAAGTGACATTTTCTTTTTGAATCAGTAGGAAATGTCGTCTTATGTTGGCAATATATAAACAACAATAACCTGCCTTGAGAATCATTTAGTGATACTACTTGTGATATGTTTTATGATTGTGTCCCTCTTTTTTTGTCTAGAATCCATGATGTTCTGCACTGTAGCTGAAACCACGAGACCTCTGACCTGTGTGTCTGGGAGCCCTTTAACCAACAATCACTGCCATTTCCGTCTAATAGGACTAAATAAGACTCAGCCTCAAGCCCTAAACAATCAGGGATGGACAGGTGAAAACTGAGAGGCCGAGGGGGGGGCCTTTATTTTAAACCTTATTAATCCAGCTGGTTCCATAGAGGGACATGCAATTATTCTCAACCATAGCAGTTTCTTTTTAGAAGTCCACTTTTGCCATATAAAAAATGCCTATAAATATTAGAGCCAGGCCAGCGCAGAGCAAACTGTTGGCTGCCCCAAAGAGCAGCACGCAAACTGATGGCGGCACATCACATTCACGCTTTTCAAGATCCAACAAACAGGGGAAAGGCAAACAGGCTGCCATCTCAGCAACAGGCTCGCGATCTGGGCTAGAACCAGGCTCGGTGTCAGGGGGTGGGCCTGCACCAGCGTCTAAATTACCTGCAGTTCAAGGAAGCTTGGCGAAGCCAGGTCCGAAGATCAAACCTGGCACAGCAACAGACAAAGGAACAACTCGTGGTTCAGCGACAGCTCCAGGCGGTAAAACCCTGTCTATGGAGAACATCCAGTCTTTGAGTGCTGCCTATGCCACTTCAGGCACCATTTACCCCTATGAGAGAGATTCATTGGAACCCTCCGGTGGGTACCCCAAAGGCACCATGACGCTGGGCAGGAGCACCAGCCGCTCCTCCTACACTAACCGAACAACAGCCATGGGCAGCACCCCCAACATCACCTCCTCTGGGACCCACCACCCGTCAGACCCTTACGGAGAGCAAAGCTTGCATCCTGCGAGGACTTCCAGTCTGCGGCGCCAGTCTGGGAGACATCCGCAGGCATCGGAACCCACGGGACGGGGAGAGGTTCCTTTGATTGATTTCCAGTCTCAGCTGAGGGAGCTGCAGAGGGAGAATGACAACCTGAGGAGAGAGCTGGATGTTGGGAGGGATGGTGGGACGGGTCCAAGCATGAACAATGTCAACTTCTGGAGCCCAGATGTGAAGAGAGACAAGGGGGTAAGGCGGGAGGAAGGAATGAGGGGCTCGGTTCTGAAGGACCACTACAGGACTAACCAAGAGGATTTACAGGTGAGAAAATTGAAGTTTGTTTTAAAAAATATATTATTTCCAGTTAAATAGATTTTGAACAAAAACATTAGCAATTTCATCTTTATGTCGTCCTACTGCTTCAAATGCTCAACAACTCCCATGTTCATCAGTAAGTTACTTTGACGTCATCAAGTCCTTATTTACAGAAGGCCATCGTTTTCAAAGAGTGCATTTGAAACAAAAGTCTTGTTTGCTTGGTCTGCAACTCATCACAGTCAGACGTTGTGTGTTGACACCTCTTCTGCACATTGCACTTTGAGCATCATACCTTTTGTTTGAATCTTCAAGGTTGCGTAGAAAGGATTCTTTGCACTTCATTTGTAAAGATGTTTGCCAGGCTCAGTGCTCTCTGTGTTTCCATGGGAACGTGCCCTAGTGACAGCCATTCAGCAGAGTTAGTCAGATCCTACACAAATCTCACAGCTACTCCAAGGGATAGTGACCAGTCTGTCTTGTGCCACCTCTCCCCCGAGTCCTTCCCACTCAGTCTGAGGCATTATCCATCCGTCTGTCTGCCTGCATAGCTACTGTAGATCCATTCCTTCTTCATAGTCCGTCTTTCTTCTGGTTCTTCACTTGTCCTGTGTGGGATTTTAATATAATATGTCACTTACTGGTGGGAAGGTGCTACTTCTGAGGGACTAGATAATAATAATAATAAATACTAATAATAATCAAGTGCTCAAAGATACTTTACAGAGGTAGATACATTTGATCCTTTTTTGCAATCAGCAACCTGTGTAGTTTCTCCTCCCTCTCGTAACCAAGGAGCCATCTCTGCATATATATTAATAGCTTCTTCTTCTCACATTGTCATACAGTGTGAGGACGCTGACACACCCAACCACACACGCATACACTTTTACTCTGGTCTTAACATAAAAAAAGTTTAAAATCAATGCAGTAAACTTTGTTACTTCAGGAATGTAGACATTGCTGTGTAGCTAGCTCCATAGAGTTGCAGCTGATACATGTTTCTCAAAATGCTTCCTTAACAAGCAGAAATGTCTGCTTACATTTCATGATGATCTGCAATTACTACTTATTGTTCCTTCCTTTAATAGGCAGTCATATGCACAGCCAAATAAACTGACATTCAGGTACACAAAAAACCACACACAACACCACTTTTACCATCCACAAACTTCAGAACGGTATAAAGATATTATATATGTTGAGCTTCTCATGTCAGAGTCCTTTAAATGGATCAGTATAGTCACTGTTAACCGTCTCTGCAGGCTTTTGGCCTTGTCAGTGATAGATGGATGTGTTTGTTTCCTTCAGGCGACAGAACCATTCAACAAGTGTATTACTTTTCTCAAGTGTTGGCTCTAGCATTGGTCTTTCCCACTCGCTTCTTTTGAATTTTGGTTTACCTTCAACTTTGTCTTCGTTCATCTTCGTTATATTCACGTAACCCTTATGTAAACTTAAGAGAATAACAGCATAGGTGTAGAGAGCATTATATTATACAATTGGGCAACATTAGTTAATGTGTTCATGGGACCAAAGCTGGCATCATATAAGCCATTTAACAATCTTGAGTGACAGGAAAAGTCCCCATTAGACAAATCCCATAAAAGACAAGTGATAGAAACAATTCACAAGTTATTAAATGTTTTCCTGTCCAAATAAAGCCTGGAGTAGTTTATGCATCTTAACTGTCATAAAAACCCTTTACGAATTAACAGTACAATATTTCAGACCATCTGTCTATCTAGCATGTATAACAGGATTAATTAAAGTAAGAGTCATACTAAAATCAATGTGAAATTCACCTGGCCATGATTCAAAATTCAAGATTCAAAGGTTGTATTGTCATATGCACAAAGCTACAGTGTAGAAATGGCAATGAAATTATTCTGACCTGAGCCCCTCCAACAATGCAACATATATAATGAAATACAAAAATAATAAAAAGTAGTGCAAATAGTCTGTATACATGTCAATAGAATATGGGATATGTACATAATGTGTCGAGTATCAGTTGTCATCAAGCGGTTTTGTTGCTGTTACCAAGTACCGGTAAGTCAGTTTGCTGAAAGCTAGTGCTTTTTATAGAAAATTAACAATAATCATTATAACACATAATATTACTCACTGTCTCAAAAACATCATACAGATAACGTTATTCTAACATTCTGATGTATTTAGCATATCCCTTATCACCCTTATCCCCCATGTCTTTCTTTTTCTCTTCTCCTTCTTCCCTGTGTGTTGCCCTTGGAGACACTCCGGGAAAAGTTCAGTCTGACAAGAGAACTTTATAATTAGCATAAGAAATGTCACCTTTCGTCTCAGCTGCCATGGCCAGAGTTGTCCCCTAACCATCTGCTTGTTTTGTGTATTGGTTTTGAGCGTGCCTGTGTATGCTTGTGCGTACACTTGCACATATGTTTTTGTGTCTACTGTTTTGGCTGTGTGTGTGTGTGTGTGTGTGTGTGTGTGTGTGTGTGTGTGTGTGTGTGTGTGTGTGTGTGTGTGTGTGTGTGTGTGTGTGTGTGTGTGTGTGTGTGTTTGTGTGGAGGATGTTCCACCCACTCAGACTTGATATTCAGTGCTAGCTTGTTGCATTGATTATCCATGTTCACCCTCGCCTGCCTCCCACACCTCAACTCCGTCCTTGGCGTTCCACACCTTCTGGACTCAAGAAAGAGGAGAATGAATATTTGAAGATAACATTTATTATATCTACTCACCGTACAGATTAGTAATTTAAATTCAGTTGAATGTTTGCATAAATTAATCTTTACCATACTATTTTGAGAATAAGATACTGTGTGTTTCTCTTTCCTTTGGTTTCTCCCTTACAGCCTTTTCTTAACCTTTTCAGTCTACTATGATATGAATAATACCCTGTGTGCATGGTTTCAAGCACATGATGAATTTCCATTTACCAGTCAGGAAAGCTGTGAGCTGTGGATGTAAACAAGAATATTTTATGTTGTAACATTTTGCACTGAAAATTCAGCTAAAGTGGGAATGTTGAGTTAACTGTATTGTCCCCAGCAACACTCTATCAGGGCCCTTTTGTGTCACTTAGTTTACTTAGATAGTTAATTGTTCAATTTATAAATGTATTTTCAAATCAAATCAAGTTTTATTTATATAGCACATTTTAAAAACGAGTTTTGGTCGAGCCAAAGTGCTGTACATGCAATAAAAGCACTTTACTGCGATAGCAAAACAGAAGACAATAAATTACAACAGCAAATATAAAAATCGAACACAGGGAAATGTCAGGAGTGCTGCTCCGCTCTGACTAGAAGGCCAGGGAGAAGAAGTGAGTCTTTAGTGTCGATTTAAAAAACCCTAGGGTCAGGGCCGACCTCTCATGGAGGGGTAGTGTGTTCCAGAGCCTAGGGCCCGCTGCTGCGAAGGCTCGGTGCCCTCGGGTTTTGAGCCTGGTCTTGGGCACTACCAGCAGCAGCTGGTCAGCCGACCTTAAAGCTCTGGCTGGGGTGTAGCGATGGAGGAGTTCGGCTGTATAAGCCGGAGCCAGCCCATTTAGGGCATTGAAAACAAATAAAAGGAGTTTAAAATCTATTCGGAACCTAATTGGAAGCCAGTGCAACGAGGCCAGAATTGGGGTGATGTGGTCACGCTTTTTATGGCCAGTGAGAAGACGCGCAGCTGCGTTCAATCAATCAGTTATTGCATCCAAACCTCTTCAGTCCATCTTTACAAACTCACACTTATTGTCCCCCAACCCCTTAAAAGTAATTCAAGGCAAAGATCAATTGTTTATTAATGACCAAACTCTTGATTATTCCAAATAACCAGTTTGCCCACTGGTTTGCAAATATTGTAATTGTATTCTTGATTAATTATTGATATGTCAGTTTATTTATCAATTGATTATATAAGATATTGTTGGGTGGCATTTATGTTTTATCGAAAGTGACACAATGATCCTAATCCAATCTTCTCCCCCTCACCTCCTGCAAACTGAAGTCATTTTGCTCACAGTCATTTTCCTCCCTATGGTCTAAAGGGAATTGTTGCCCCCTAGCGGCACAAACATGTAACTAACAGCTCAAAGTAATCCAAGTTATAGTTTAAAATGTATGATAGATAGTATTTGCTTTGTGCCTTCTATTGTGGCTTTACACATTTGCATGTTTTTTGTCTCATTTCAATGTAGCAGCCTGGGGATATCAGAAGAAACAAGGTCTGTTTTATGTACCCCACCATATATATTAGTAACGTTTAATTTGTGCCTGTTTATTTGGAATGTGTATGTACTTTTGAAAGAATGGGCGCTTAACCTTTCTCTTTCTTTGTAGCAGCTTCCGTTGACGGTCCAGGAGCTTCAGGAGGAGCTGAGGGCTCACAGGGAGATGAACAGTCGCCTGCAGCAACAGCGGCAGCAGGGGAACTCTTATCGAGAACACACAGACCAGGACCACCGAGGCGGGCTCAGCCCCGGCCACAGCCCCAGACAAAGTTCCAGCAACCTGCACAGTCCTGCGCCGAGGAACAGCCCGAGAGTCAGCCCGTCGAACACCTACAATCCAAGGCAACAGGAAGCTGACGTCATCCTTCACAGCTCTGGTTTTGGCTGTAACACTGCGGTCACTGCGCAGAGAATCAGCCCTGCCAACACCCTCCGCCCCGGGCCAAGAATCAGCCCAAACCAGTCCATCTACACTCCTAGCCAGGGTCCGGTGGCAGCGCCCTGCTCTAGTTCACTCCAGCCGTGTAACCCCTGCCAGGTGCCTGGGTGTGGCGGCCTCTCCTCCTCATCTCCTCCGCTGGATCCATCGGACGAGAATTACTTCGGGATGCAGTCGGAGCACGAGCGGCAGGCCAAGGAGCTTTTCCTGCTAAGAAAGACCATGGAAGAGATGGAGATGAGAATCGATTCTCAGAAACAGACGCTGGGTGCCCGGGACGAGAGCATCCAGAAGCTGCTGGAGATGCTTCAGGGCCAAGGTCAAGGTCAGAGTCAAGGTCAGGGACACTGGGTCCGGGGACAGCGGACAGGCATCATCACCATGGCGGCACAGGAGGCGGAGGCGCAGATGGAGAACATGCATGTGAGAGAGGTATGTATGAGTGCTGCATGGGGGAGGGTTTTGGACCTTTACAGTTTTTAAACAGTGGGGTTGATCAACATTTGTTATCAACCCTTCACTTCAAAATCATTGGAAGTGTTTAGATATTGCACATTTCTAATACACAATCAGGGTTATCTGTTTTGACAAGCCAAAACAATTGCTATGACTTGTGACAGAATGGTTGTGGAAATGTTTATAATGACTTTCACTTTTCTCATGTTTAAGGGTTAAGGTTAGGGTTAAACATTCAAATACTATTTTATTTTTAATAAACACATTTTGTGATATACTTTATTAATTATCAAATGATATACTTTTATGTGACTTATTTGTTTTATGTGTTTATACATTTGCTTATCTGTTGATGAGATTGATGCATTTTGACAATTGGCTGTGCAAATGACATTATTGCCTTTTGAATGAATATGTGTTTGTGTGTGAGTAGCTATGAAAGTGTCTGTATTATGTAGAGAGGGGAAGCAGAAAGCAGCTCAGCAGGTCTTATCAATCGGCCAGATTAACATACGAGAGAGAGCTCTAAGCCTGGGTTCAGCCATGCAGTTTTACAATCTGACTCGGTTTGTTTTTGTGTGTGTGTGTGTGTGTGTGTGTGTGTGTGTGTGTGTGTGTGTGTGTGTGTGTGTGTGTGTGGTGGTGTGGTTGTGTGTGTGTGGGTGTGTGGGCGGGGTTCGTCCACATGCTCATATGGCAGTTGCCCATTTTCCACTCGTCTGTGCATTGTGCATAGCATTAGATATTTTGTAGGATGCTGTAAGCTTGTCATTCATTGGAATTAATAAATGATTGAATAACGTTGGAAATGCTCTTTTAGCCCCTCACATAAATGTCTTATAGGATAACATTTTGACGTGATTACATTTTGGACAGACATAGATGTAAATCGCAACTTGATTGGTTGTGTTGAGACCACTGTGAGGCATTATTTTAATGTTCTTGTTTCCTCAAAGACTTGATTTGATTAGATAGAGAATGTAAAAGCCACAGCCCAGACGGTGGAGTAGCACAGGTGTTTTGTATCCTTTGACAGGAGGGCTCACAGTAGGCTGCTCTGTGCTCCTCACTACTGCCTTGTTTATTTTTAACTCCTAAATCTTCTTAGCCTTTAATTTCTCTACCACTCTTTCAGTGTGTGTGTGTGTGTGTGTGTGTGTGTGTGTGTGTGTGTGTGTGTGTGTGTGTGTGTGTGTGTGTGTGTGTGTGTGTTGAACTTATTATTAAGTAGTAAAAGGCTGGTTCGGAGTGAAACAAACTAGACTCTTTGAAATGCTACTAGTAGTTTTTATTTTTATTTTGTTAATTTGCTATCAAATAAAGAGTTAACAATGTTAACATTGCAAACAACACGTTGCATGGTCTATTACATATAAGTGGCATGTTAAATGTTAGTTCTACCAGGCTACTCTCAAAATAATCTAATAAAGATAAAATGTATTGAACATAAATAATAATGTATTGTTAAGGTACGTTTTTTTCATGAGCAACAAATAAATGGTACATCAAGGTAGTTCCTGGTAACTAAGCTTATAATAAACATTGGGTTGTCATGCACTTACTGTGTACACATTCAACAATTCTGTCTGAAAACCCTCAAATCTGGGCGGTTTCAAAATGTAGTTTATCAACATTGTGGTGAGGAATTCATCACATTGTCTGACAGTTTGATATGTGTGTGGTTAGTGTGGAATGTCAGTGTTAATGTTTGGACTGAATACAGATTAATAAGAGGATATGTGCACTCACTCAACTGTAAGAATCTGCGTACTTCTTGTGAAGGCCTCTTGTGTTTGTTTATGTGTCAGAGTACGACTCTGGCACATAAACATAATTGAACACTTGCACTTGTCATGGTTTGTGAAGTCAAGCCGGGGATGTTAGCGCAGCTATTGCCTCTATTAGGGGGCACTGCTCTTAGCTCTTTTGATTAGGTCCAAAGGAAACCAGCCAAACTGCCTTTCATTACCGCGCCCATTACTCTCCTTTAAATGACCCAACTTGTTTAGCTTGAGCTGGGATAATAAATGCCTTCATTTTCAGTACACCTCTGCTTTTATTTATTCTTCAAACGTAGCTAAGGGTTGACACAGTGGCTTTCTTGGTATCCTTTGGTGAATTGATGAGAAATGATCACCTTCATTTTGTGTTAGTACCTTTTTATGTAAGGACAAGTAGGAGAAGGGTGTGGCCCTATATTTGTATAATGCAAAACAGAGAATTGAGAAAGGGTTTTCCCCTTTTCTCTTCAGTTTTACCACCATGGCCAGATGTCCAGTTACTTTAACCAGTTATGTGTTTATTGTATGCAGTTTGTAGGGATATATAACTCAATCCATCCATACTTTACCTGTTGATTTGTGTTGTCAGAGGATAATGTTTGTAGTGGTGCTTTCTCACTTGTGTTTCCTGCTCTGTTCCTCCTCCAACGTCAGACTGTCTTGCACAGCCACGACACAGAATCACTGGCACACATATATATCAGAATATTCCCTATGGCTCTCGAGATAAATAATTACACTGGTGAAAATCACCATTATTTGTTAGAACAACGTGGAATCCAAATTCAGTTTGATTATCTTATACGTTTATACAGTTCTAGCAATGTCCACAACGTGGCAGTGTTCTGTTAGAATTTAAGTAGTGTGGTGGTTCCATGCACTAACTGTGAGCCTAAGATATGTGTGATGGTACACACATACACACACGCTGAGGGGCATACATCTCGGCCTAATCGGCTCTCCCCAGCCACCGTGTCCCAGTAGACCCAGTAATAACAGCCGCACCACTGGTCTGTTCCTGCCCAGCTTTGACTTGCTGCCAAGGGCGAGCACACACACATGCACACTCCCACTGTGAGATATTTTACTTGCTGATGGCATATAAACGTACATACATATCGTACCGCAGATTCCAAATATACCTTGGATGAGTACGACAGAATATGTTGCATTGCCCTGGTGTTAAGCACAAAACACCTATGGCTCCTCGTCTGGCACCAGAAGCTGCTGTTTTTTTGTTTTAGCAGGCCCTCTTCTGTCTGCCCATGCATCCTCTCTTAGACTTTGATGAAAATGTCCCTATTTAAACTTTCAGACTGTTGAGGAGAAGTGGGAGATCATGTCAGCAAATCCCCCTTTGTTGTAATCTCTTTCCTCTTTTTTATTTTTTTCCCTTTCACATGCCACCTCTCTTTTTACTGATCTGCCTTCAGCCTGTTTGTGTTTGTCCGTTCATCAGCATTTCCCACTCTCTTTTTCTTGTTCCCTGGGCTGATATGCTATTATTTGTGGTTAGGTTGATTAGTGAAAAGTCTCTCCCAGGCCTGGCTTTTTAGGGCTCCTTCATCTCAATGAACAAGACAACTTTAAAGCTGTCGGCAAACATTCACACGAACACACAAAATGCTCCCTTTGCCCGGCACACCCCGGGCACCACACACTCACCACGCTCTGCTGATCCTACAGAATGTTTGAGCGGAAAGGTTTATCGTGACAAAATTACACCCTTCACACTTCTCCTCGCCCCCTCCCTATTTCTCTTTAAGGCTTTCCGTCTGATTTTTCCTTTTGTCTTTTCAAACTGCTCTTTTAAGACATTGAGCTGATAGGAAACCCATTTTCACATTTGTGGCAAGCAAATCTGTTTTCTTTTTCGCACACTGATGGAGAAAGGATGGGAATGTGATTGATGAATGTGTGTGTATGGGAGTGTGTATGTGTGCGTAGAATGTAGTAGTCTGCACATGGCATATATGACACCCTTGCCTTCAGGCTAGAATTGAACCTTTTGACCGTATCCTTCATTCAGGATGCCGGCACTTATTGCTATAGTGTTACGTTTGATCCTATTCATTCCATATGCTCGGTCCTCTGACACATGTGGAGCAGAGAAGACAGTCTTTGATGACATGCTCTCTTGCATGACTTAATTTCCCCCATTGTACTCTTAACTGTACTCCGACCGTTGTTGATAAGGGGTTAGTACACACACTCTCTCCAGGGGATAGATAAATACTAGAGACGAACAAAGATACTGACATACACACACTCGCAGTGACTCAATATTACACATATGGTCATAGGAGATTAGGCTTGTGGCAGCAGTGGGCATACCAGTCTGTGGGAGGCATGCTCTGACAGCAGTAATCCCTCCTTATCCACAACAGACATGGACAAGAGGATAAGGCCCTTGTCATTACAACTTACTGGGAGAACTGGGAAGAATGATAGCAATGGGGAACCATGGCCTCTGACTGCCTTAATATAGATGTCCCCTCTTTATGTGGTTCCTGCCTGATTTGGTGGCTTTTCTTTACCCACTGATTGTCTGTTCTCTTTTCCAAATGTGGCCATGATGGTATTGTAGTTCCTCTTGCATTGTCCCATTGGTGAGAGAATCAGGTACTTTACTTTATTCAGTACCACTCAAACAGTTTAAATGTTTTTCAAAGAGGTGCTACATTATATATTGTTTACACATTATATTTGGAATAAGTCAATATGTGAGTGCGTTATCTATTTTATGATCCTATGTAGCTCAGTTGGTATTCCATGTTTCCATGTTTTTACATTTCCCACAGCTGCCTGTAGTTCAACCATGGAGCAGCAGCAACACACACTTACTTGTGTCTCTTACAGTGCATTTTCTTTGATATGAAGCCTATGTTCCGTCCCACTGTCTACGAACTTATTATTTTCCATCCAGCATGGCTGGATAGCTGTGTACAATCCAATGGAATAGTCCTGCAATGAAACCCCTCTGAAGCTTTAAGTGGCGGCCTAAAGATTTGAGTTGCCTGGGGGTCGCATGCCCGTGGTTCAGTAAATATATATCTGGATGGGAATTCAAAGAGCAGTGCTTGCCACCATTTAGGGCCCTTTGAGCAAGGGCGACTCCCTCACGACCACAACTGAGGCGCCCCTGACCCACAATTGCTCCGATGGAGCTGCTCTAGTGGCAAGCAGATGAGACAG